AAATGCCTCAATGAGTAGATACAATTTTTTTGTTAAGGGTAGTCTCTAAAGGAATCCTCAAGGATGAAAATTGTAGCTTGCGACAATAGTGAAAGATGCGAAACCAATTGTCGGATTTAGAATTATAGAATATAATATATATTAGCATATGTAAAAATATGTGAAGTTTCAGGGGATTTATGCAATATGACGACCTTGCATTGTTTCATATAAGGCAACAGACTTATTTATTTATCAATTGTGTTATATTGAATGTGTCGTACAATATATTATTTTATGGTAAAGTCTTGCTAAGTTGGTTAGTTTTGAACGGGAAGGTAGAACGATTTAGAAATATGACCAAGACCCACTACTTAAATAAATATGTTATTCCATAAGAGCAAACTTTGAAAACTGGCACTAACGTAAAATTAGAATCATTTAATGTATATTTCTTTGTTGACGTCCATAAGTGTACATTGTGTTACCTACATTAATAAATGATTTTTGACTTGACTACGTAAACGGTACTATTTTAAATTTGTTCTCGTACGAAGGAAGCTTCCTCTATTCAAACAGTATTACCTATTCAAGACCACTCTTTACTTGCTTTCACTCGTAAAAAGAACTTTTGACAAGCTTTTGACGTCGTGGTACGCAACACTTTAGAAACATACGCCAGTACGAAAAAATCTCACATACTCTATATTTTCCATACTTTCGTCGATTCCTCGGTTAGTGTACTTTAATTCATCTGTTTATAGCAGCTGACTGGCTTTTATTTATTATTTCATATCAACCATACGCTTCTAATTCTATATTGAGGGATTAGCGGATACGCATAGGCAATGTATAAATCAACATTCTTTAAAGACAAATAATATACATAATAGTAAAGATTTATGATGTATCACATGCGTCATTAGATCTTTGAGAGTCAATGTTGATCAACATTTTGGACAATCCTAATCTCGTAAAGAACACATTAAAACTTGACAAATGACTGATCCTTCATTCAATTCCCATAGATATAAAAATTGTTCCCTGATCGCGTGCATAAGACATCACTCATCGTTAGTACATAGGGGTCTATTAGTCGGCCAAAGCCAATTTAATCCAATTGACTGTCCCACGGACTTCTGGATACCAGGATATTGGATTGGTGTAGACTTTGTATTGTAATTAAAACCAGGGGTATTCATAAGATTTGGTTATTACTTTAATGTTATAAATCCCTAAATAAATGAAATTAACATTTACACAAAATCTTGAATCTCAATTGTTCTCACTATTTGCTTTATCAAAGAGTCACTTAGCTGAAGGGTACTTCAAATTCCCACGACATTGACATACCTACCGAATTACTAATGTGACGTAATATTAACTATATTATATTTAATTATAATTGTTTAATAAATAAATAATGAGACAAAGTTCTACAGTTTTGTTTATCAAATGAAATGGATCAAGAATATTATATTACACTTTTCTTGGAGCTACCGTATTTGTATTGAGTTTTCTAGATGATATTAGTATATGAAACTATTTATTCATAGTGAAAATTATGTTTTAAGGTTCACGCATCTCTCTATATTCGACATATTCTTACCAAAAGACTATCTACTACCGAAATCGCTCGAAATTAAACTCAAAATTCAAAATCATTTATTCAGTTAGGTAACACAATGTACACCATTGAACGTCAATAAAGAAATACATATTGAATACTTCTAATTTTACATTTACTGCCAGTTCTCAAATCAAGGGCGTAGAACGGAAGAGAAGGACTGGCAATAACTCTCCGCCACTCTTTTTAAACTCCGATTATTTTGTTTTACAACATGTTTGTAAGGAGCTGCAACCATTACACCTTGTTCCACATGACATATTTAAGTAATCTATATATATAAAAATTAAACCCGTTTTCCGTTGTCACGACATAACATGAAAACGGCTTGACCGATTTGTCTGATTTTTTTTTATAATATACCTTGAAGTACGAGGATGGTTCTTACGGAGAAAAATTAAAAAAAATTGAGTGAAAAAGTCTAAAAACAACACTTTTCTATATTCCCATACAAAATATTCGTAATAATACTTAAAAGTCAATTTGAACTTTAATACCATAGCATAAAGTTCAAGTATTAGTGGAGGGGTTCCGGGAAGGTAAATTTTTATTTTTTGACATAATGTATTTGTTGTCTTATCAATTTTCTTTTGTTTATCTTACTAGCTAGACCGGTGTCCCGAATAAGTATTTTAAACAAATAAAGAATCGACTGTTAGGCGGTACGATGTTCGCCAGGCCAGCTAGTTAATTATAATAATAAATAAGCAAATTAAAAAAAACAAAGATTTGTCCTCCTCTATCAGCTAGAAGCATGGTGAAATAGGAGCACGCACTTACATTCTCTTGGAAACAACACGCAATTTTTTAAGCGTGAAAAAAAACTGACCAATATCTCCGAGATTTTAATATAATTTGTTAAAATGCCACACTCCAAGTTTTCTCTGCTTCGAATCGACCTGGGAAATGCTACTACTTATTTACCTATTTACGACGAAGTCACGGGCGGAAGCTAGTTTTCTATAAATAGGCTGAATAAATGGCCTAGATGTAAGGTAGAGCTATCGATACAGGTCACTTGTTGGCTGAATATCTCGAACAATAGATTCTCACTTCTATACAAAATTCGCGGGTGTCCGTAACTTAGTGTACTTCAACTGGGTCAACTTAATTAACCAAGGTATAATTATTAGTCAAAGTTATAGATACATTTTACAAGTTTTACAGGAAAAGGGTAGAATCAGAACCACGCGGTTAAAAGATCGAAGTGAACAGAACAGAAAGGGACTTTGTTTCATAAATGTATCACCTCGTCTTAAAAACCTCTTTAAAAACTGTTAAAAGACTGTTAAAAAGATAGTGGCTTTGTTTTATACCATGTTAAACTAGAGCTAAGCAGTGTTGGCTTAGTGGCTTCAGCGTTCGACTCTGTGAGGTCGTAGGTTCGATCCCCGGCTATGCACCAATGGACTTTCTATGTGCGCATTTAACATTCACTTGAACGGCGAAGGAAAACATCGTGAGGAAACCGGCTTGTCTAAGACGGCGTGTGTCAGGCACTGGAGGCTTATCACCTACTTGCTTTAGAATTAGATTGCCAAATGATCAACCTAAAAATGTTGTAGCGCCACAAATTTTTTAAATATTTTTTTTATACGATAGCAAAAACCGAGAAGTGGCAACCCTGACCTCGAGTGCTCGTATATAATACGGAGAGCACTTGACTTTTAATAAATTCCTTTAAATCCTTTTGCGGTTGTGAGATAAGGGAACTTTCGAATGAGGGTAGAGTTGTTCACTTATTGTTAGGTAAATTTATATCGACGTTAAATATAATTAAAATACAGACCTCTTTGTCGTTGTCGCACTTTGGACGTTTAAGAATAAGAACCATAGAAATCATTTACGATACCCCACTTAATGCCTACTTCAGCAGTGGTTTCCGGGAAATGTCAAGATAAAGGAAAGTTACGTTGCTCGGCGAATGAACGCATGTACCTTCGTTACCATGGTTACAGTACAAGCTCGTCAGTCACCACATTTATGTAGAGTTTCTATTTATACTTAAATTCAGTTTTATATGAGCACGATTTGTTGTTTCATGGCCTGGCTTCTTGTGCAACCAGATCAGCTCAGCCTCTCTGTTACCCCGAAAGTGAAGACACTACTAGAACCTAAACACGATATTATATTCTCTTAATACCCGTAGCGCTCGGTAACTTCAAAGAGCTTTAGCGATAACGATCCCTTTCTCAACATTAATGACTTTATGTTGAGTTTTTATACCTTGGGATTACAATATCCTGTTATCAGTAGATAATAAGAGACGTATGTCAAAATAGCATAAAAATATTTTCAGGCTTGCTATCTCTACGTAACTTCACGTACAATATATCCACTATAGAAAGTTGAAAATAATAGATTTTCAGGAAATATGTGTGATTAAAGACATAACGAATGCTTATAAACCATATAAAGAGAATTCTACGATAAGCAAAATTCGATGAAAGTGCATATAAAGAATTGGACTTCCGCCAATCTATACGAACCAACTGTCCAAATGTTCTATTAATATAAAAATTAATTTCGAATGAATAAATACTTCCTTATGTGGAAATTAGATTTTTGAAAGGCACTTACATTATAATATAAGGTCTAAGAAAGTATATGAAGCTAAAGCGCTTTGAATAATTTCAAAATGAACGATAATCGGAATATTTCATTATATTGTTACAGTTTGATATAATATATTATGTACTTTTTGCTATATTCTTGGTACATTTGGGACGTACACCTATCACATCCGTTGCATAACGCATTGTATAGTCTATGTTAATGGCAATTAGCGTCCGAGCTCCAAGACGTAACACCTAATTAGCTCGCCCTCTTCGTAGGCTTAAATTAGGTCGCCATTGTCACGGAAGATCACTCGTTGCATAATGTTGAACGCCTTTTGTGTACACTCATGTAACGCTTTTACGACCTCTCCTACTTCCTACTTAATATTAATGCTAAAGTTTCATGGATGGTTGTATTACAAGTAGACCAAATATTGTTCATCTATCGTCTTTTGTTTTTCTAAAACCCCCATCTGTTATCATCTTGGGTGAGGGTTTTAGTGTTTGAAAATATTTGTGTGATTGTGGTTATCTCACACCAAATGTAATCACTGCTACGTTATACGAGCTGTTTGTAATGCCACGCCCCCAAAAGTCAGGTTCAATGTAAATGTCAACTTCGATTACTCGTGTTTTAACTGACGGAAAATGGAAGCTTTTTTCTTTTGTCCATTTTCTCGAAAGTTTTCCCGGAGCGAGGATCATAATACAAAGGAACAAAGATAGACAGAATATTTAGTGAGAGAGTGCTTTATTTGCAAATGAAAGACATAACGGGTACCATTGCAATAGGTCTACATGAGTATTGTTACTAGAACTGGTTGTGTGTTGAGCGCATGCGCTCTCCCCAAGGACACGAACAGTGGCTCAGTCGGTCGGAATGCATTGCCGCGGATGCCTGGCTGAATCCACACTTCGTTGAGCTATGCGGAGTACCGCATAGATCGTCGCGTAAGACGTCCCGAGGGCCGCATGCCTGGTCCACACGCCTCATCATCAGGCCGCAGAGCGACCTTAAGCACCGAAGCCCCACGGGCCCTGCGGTTCAGCCTTGTAATTGGGTTTTGACGTTCAATAAGCTACCGATAAGATAGTTTGATTGGCGAGAGCTTTTCGCTTCCATATCGCTTGCTTATCGGAGTTTCGCTTTGTGTAGTTGCTTTTACGTTTCCAAATTTTTTTTGACTACGTAATGTCTGAAAATAATGCGTCTTCCGAAGGTGTGTGAAGAGTGAACATGACTTGTTGGGAGAGTGTAGGATTTCTAGGTCCTTGCGCGCTACTCGCGGGCTCGGCTTTCAGGGTGAGTTAATGAGAAAATTCAAGGCCGCCTCCGCGATATGAGTATACTATTAACACGAAAGGCAAAAATATAAATCATGTTTTACAAAAATTTCTACAGAAGCTTATAGTTACTTAATTGTGACTTGATGCAAAGCTTACTATAATTATTGTTTCTCTCGTTTCATGTTGTAATTACTTTCAATCTAGTAAACAACGTATTAGGGGTGTTTTGAAAACAACATAATAATTACCTTATCTTAATTATTTATCCCGTTTCTTTGATAAGAAACGTTTAAACAATCGCACTTTCCAATAATACTTCTGTGAGTTCAGTCAGTTTGTATTCAATACTGATCAAGATGGTTTCGGTAATTTTACTTACAACTGAAGAAGTGCTACAAACTAATAGTCACTGGGTATGTTTGGACGCAATGTGGACGACCGAAGACTTGGAACCCTTCGAGGAAGTGAAAGCCGAACACATGTTTTCCAAACCGCTCACCAGAGATGTTTACTACGCCAAGTATCCAGACATACCCAGGAGTGAGTCGGAAGATGAGAACTCCTACAGCGTGCATAGTTTTAGAAGGAAACATCAAGCCTGGAAATCGAAAATAATAATAAAAAAACTTGAATCGCGAAGAAATTCTACTCAATCTGTGGCAAGTAATGCAGCAAGCACTTCGGTTCAAAATGTTTCTACTAGAGTTTCATCATTTGTCTTTAATGAGAACGAAAAGATCAATCTGCAAAGCTCCCAAGAAAAGGATGAGAAAATTCGTGCTTTTTTCCTGCGATTGATCGAAAGCGTTCCACCGCCGCCCGTAGACATGTCTATAGTACAGTCAAGCCTACAAGACTTAAACGATCTTGACTTACCGAGCTACGATGATTTTGCCAAGGAGAAAATATCGGGTGAGGAGCAGCTGCAAGGACCAGCTACGTCCACAATGAAGCGACCGAAGCGCAAAGAACGTACAAATTCATTAAGAAGCGATACGGATGGCTGGGAAACGTGGCAGGAAAGCATATATGGAATAATGGATGGCTCTTTAGTTGGATCGAATCGCGATAGTGACATATCGTGGGCGGATGTTATCAACATGTGTGGTATAGCTGACAGAGCGAACAGTGCGGAATCATTACACTATGAGAAAATAATAAGTAAATCCCACTTACGAAACTTTATATCGCCAATATCTCAGGAAGATGACTATGATAAATTCGCGGAACATAAATTGGGAATGTCTTTAGAAGCACCCGTTCCTGACTCTTCATCGCTGCACAATTTCAGTGAGAACGACAACATAGCTCGATCCGTTTTGACTAATTCAGCTTTCGGAACCCTTTATCGTTTAGCTCCGTGGGACGATCCAGAATATGAAGTTTGAACACTTATTTGCTTTCCATTGTTTTTATAAAATCTTATATTATAATAAACTACTGTTTTTATTGATTATAATACGTGTTTCATATATGAGTTTGCAGAGAATCCTTGTAACTAGTTATTAAATATTACAGGCTAATAAGCCTAGAAAAGAGCTTCAAAATGTATTTCTTTAATACACAAAAGTATATACATATATTATATATACAAGGAAGTAAAGGTTACATACTGTAGTCGTTTCGTGTGTGCTGTTTCTTATGGGCGACGATAATTTTAATTAAACTTGTGTGTGTAATCGATATAAACAGTTTTTTTTTAATTAATACTATTTTTGATTTTGTTTTACCTACTTTCGCTCATTCTGCCTGTCTAGTAAGTAGTTATACATTTATGTGTTTGTGCAGTCTGTGTTCTGCATCTAATGGGAGTTTTGCTTTGTTCCAGCCTCCAGAAAACGAATTGCAGAAGAATTCCGATCGAGTGTTATCTGAACACGAGCTGAGGGTCCAAAGGTCACTGCAGAAACTCAATGTTCCAGAATGGTAAGGGCTAGTCTATTTATATTTCGTAATAAACCGTAAACTTTTCCTGTTAATAGTTCTAACTAGAATTAGAATTTGGTTGGAAATCATGCGACGGAAATAACTCTGCGAAACAGGGTTACTTTAAGACGACATCCTGTTTGCTTTTGTCTTCAATAAAAATAAAAAATAAATAAAATAAAATATGTTTAATCTTATACTAAGATACTTATTCCACGTCATTCAATTTGAAACGGTAGAATTCCCTACTAATCAGCAAAGAAGACAGAGGGTGTAAAAAACTCTGGGTACTCTTTTAAAATAGCAAATCATCAAACAACACTTATTTTAAAACAAACATCGCAAATTAATTAGAAGTAGCCTGTCTAGCACTAATCCCAGGCCCTTTTAACAACTAGATAATCTTTAACTTTATAGTAAGCCTTTTTACATAGCTTTTCTTTAATACATTTCTTAAATTTATTAAAAGGCAGAGATAAAAGAGCCGCTGGAGTTTTATTAAAGAAGAGTATCCCTTTTCCCAAATGGACTGGATGGGTTAGAATGACTAACTTTAGATAGTCTTCTACGCAGGGCCGCGCCGACCCCCGGCAGCGCCTGTGTGCGAAACCCATGAAGCGCCTCCTCTTTCTATAGGGGTCAAACGAGCCTTAGGGACGGACAAAAATGGCAGTCATTGAATCTCATAGACATTTTTAGCGGGTGTGTTGCAGGCCTTTGAGGGAACTCCTTCTATATTTCGGCCTATTTTTAAGAATCTTCAAGTTTCAATGTATTTTTTAATTTTTGTCCGAAAGAAAAAATTTTCTTTAGTTTATAGGTAAAACGTAAAATCCACTTAATAGGTTAAACGTCCCTGGCCAATTGCCGTGTAAAATAAAACCGAATTAAATTGTTACATAGTTTATTTATGATGTTATTTTTATCTAACCGTTTTTAAGGTCAGATTTATGACATATCTTTGTAATAAATCCTATCTTTTAGTAGAGGACGAAAAATATTTATATAGTTCTTGCACAATATTAAAAAACCCAGTCGTGTATGAGATGTGCAGCGTCATTTATTATTAAATTTAAACTATGGCTGGCGCACGGACATAAAAAGTGCGGAGATTTACATCCCGCAATATTCTTACCTTACTTATTTGAGCCATTATCATAGCCTTGCCCCCTTAAGTTCTTTATGTCCAAATTAATTTCGTTTAGTTTTTCTATTATAAATGACGTTACTCCAGCGCTAGTTGTATCTACGATTGGGCAGAAAGTGCTATTATAAATTGGAAAGCTAGGAAATGCTCTCTTATTCTTAACTTTCTAGTTTACATGTTAAAGTTGACAAATCTTATTATCATACTAATTTGCTCTTCGTGTGAAACGTCAGTAGTACAATCCAGTATTATTGAAAAATATTTATTAATTCGACATAAATTTAAAATAAAATGTTGAATTTGGTTACCGAGTATAAAAAATAGTTCATTTTGGATTTTATCAAGGTATGTCGGCATATTATTGAAATCATAAGACATAAACACACTCAAAAAACTCACGGCGGTCACCAGCGGCCTTTCTTTTGATTCGCTAAGCTCTGAGTAATTAATGTAAACTAAAACCTAAAGCGTAAAATGAAACTTCAAACGTACGTAAGAATATTGTAGTGTAGTATAAATAATTTCGGTGGCGGCGCCCTTATTGTATTAGCGCCTGTGTGCACCGCACACTTCGCACATATGGGCGGCGCGGCCCTGCTTCTACGGGGATAATGCAGCCCGCGTTTGTTCCGAGTATTAACATTGTGTGTATGTTCTATTCTAGTAAACTTATCACTATTATTGTATACATACATAATATTTTCATAAAGATTCGGTCTAACATCACGACTGATCACTATATAGGGAATAACATCGAGATGGACTTCGTTATTCACACATATGACAAATTTTCACAAGATAATATTGTATTTTCAGGTACAAAAACGCACCAGCCCCGAGGGAGGGCTTCCTCTTACGCAAACGATTGTCTGACGCTTCGGCATCGGCGGGCAGGTGGAGCGGACTTAACTCGAAGACCACCTCGTTGGGGAGCCTAGGTGTCAATGCGCAACCCCCACCGCCACAATTATCCCCACACACCACCAGCTTCGGCAGGTGGTCGACTAGCCGGCTTAACTCGAATCAAGTCAGTAATTTAAACTGTATCTTTGTTGGTTTTTTAATATTGTTATGTATGATTACGAGATTTGTATTAAAAGATCGAGTTGTCCTCGACATACAAATAAGATTCTCTGGCGATCTCCCTCGCAGCTTATTTAAATAAAACGAAAACATAACCTTTTTATTATAATATTTACTTTCAGAAATCGATAACTAGAGAAGTCAAAATACTTGTCACATAATGTACACGAATCGGACTTTACGTGTTTCATTTAATGATGTCAATATTTCCGTTACGAAACTGTATACAAACCTTGGATAAGTATTTTTCTAAACTATCGACGCTTAATTATAAATCTTTTCCAGACGTCGCCGTGCTCTTCGACCCGTAGCAGCATCAGGGGCGCCTCTCCCCTCTGTTCGCCTTCGACCAGGTCCTCGTTCAGCGCCCGGCAGCCTTACCTCGGTTGGCGGAGTCAAGAACGGCTGAACGCCACCCCTCGGACGCCGCACGAAAGGTACGCGAACATTTATATTCTAGAATATAAATGTCTTCGGTGAGGCGAGGCGTTTGAAAAAATATAGCAAATTGCTCTTCACTCCTCCGTTACAGGCTCGCCTGCTCCCTGCTGCAGCAGACCGCGACCAGCAAAGCCTCGGAGGAGATCCAGACCTCGATCAAAGAGGTGACGTCGGCCATCGTCCACTACGTGTCGGGCCTCGAACCCTCGAACGGCGATCTCGATGACGTCTCGCCGCGCTCGAGCCAGAAGCTGTATTGGCTGGAGAGCTCCTTCGTCGGTACGTAGCTCTCGACTTCGGCATCTGCGTGAATTCATTTGACACCTGTGACCGTCCTACACTCCGAATCACAAATGTGCCCTCCGCAGGAACGAAGCCCCTGGAGTCGCCCCGGACGCCGCTCGTGACGGAGCTGCCCCCGCCCCACCCGCGGCCGCCCTCCTCGCTGAGGCTCGAGCATCGCGCGGCGCCCGGTGAGCGAGCGTGATTTGCACTCCCGTCGCAGGTTCCCCTCGAGGGAGCGTCTCCTCGACCCGACGTCCGCGTCGAGTCGGGCCCGAGACGCTCTCGGTCGAGAGAGAATCCGCAATGTCCGTCGACCCATTTGTGCCGTTCGCCCGTGACGTTTCCCGTGGCTTAGATTCGTGTGACTCGGGACCATTCTTCGTTTACACCGCTTGTCGAGCACGAAACACTTCCATTTTGTTAACTATTTTTATAAAAGCACAGGCTCGTCGGGGTTTCCGGCTGTCGCGTGACGCTACTTCCGGTAGAGTCGAGCGATGGCGCGGGACCGCGAGTTATATTATTGCAGTTATTTGTCGCATTTGTATCGAACGTATCGCCTCCATTGTACGTTGTGTTGTAATATAAAATTGAAACCTCTTGTAACAATAAGTCGTAGATAAGTTTCATCAGATTATTGCCATAATTTAATTTCGAGTTTCACGTCGAGCCCGTCGTGTTGTAAATATAAATTATTTTGTTGTGTGTTTATTTTTTATGCAGAAATGTAGAATTAGTTGTTAAAGCTAGTTTATCACGTAGTTTAGTTGTAAATAATATACACGTGAAGGTGCTGATTCGCCGTTACCTACCTTATTTCGCCGTTCGTCACGCCGAGGCCGATGTTATCAGAACCGTAGACTAAGGTGGTGAGAAGTGACGCAGACTAGGTCTCGATTCCGGTTCCTTCTACTGAATCACCTCGTAATTTATGTCGGGGTTCGCCCCTCAGTAAATTATACAGGTTCTGATTAGGTTAGAATTTCTCGTTTTGCGTCGGATGGTTCGCCCCGCCCCGATTCAAGCCGACGACTACGTATTTGTTAGTTTAGGATTTATTTTAAGTGTTGTCTGTCGGAAAGCTAACATTAAAGACCCATCGGCAAAAGAAGCTCTCTCGAAAACGGTTGAAGTAGAAATAGTGAAATAGTAAAATAGTGACGAGTAGTTCGTCACGCGTTATATAATTTAAAGAATCTCGGTACTTTTGTAGCGTTATTGTCTCGACGTACTTGAATTGTATCTTTTAGTTATTTTATTTTACATTTATTACCAATTATTGAATATATTCAGTTTTATTTTATATTTTGTTTTATTTTTGGTGATGTCTTTTTATTAGACTAATGTAACATTTCAAGGTGAGTACATCATTTTCCTCAATTTTATTTTTACTTCTCTTAACTAGTAGATATTTCGTTGTCTTGAGATTGATTTATTTTAAAGCATTTTTGAGCATTTTCTCTGAACCTAATCAGCCTGCGTTATGACGATTAAAATAAGACTTGAATGAAATCGAAACCTATTGGCCTCTTCAGCCGAAGCGACAGGTCTAAAACTGTCGAAGCGGACGCAGAAAAATTCAAAACTTACCATAAACGCCACAATTTTTCAGACTGGCAAGATTCGCAGCGTTCTTTGAATGTCGGTATTACAAAACCTTCCCCCGGATCTACCACTTTGGAGGACGTATTGGACTCACTTTTAGGACTCCCCTCACAACCTGCCAGAATCCCTACGCCTCAGCCGAGCCCTAGGAAATCCGCCAGTCCTCACTACGCACTCGGCGGGAAGGTAGGCATTCTACGACTGAACTTCTTAAGATTAGACCCCTTCAATAGAAAGGCAAATCGGCTAAGCTACCCCTGAGACTGAAACCGACTTTTCTCCCTTTAGAGTCCAAGATATGAACAATTAGCGAGTAGTGGTCACAGCAGTGCCTCTGTCGCCTCTCGTTTCTTGAACACTCCCAGCGACGCTCCCAGCTCCTTCACGGACCCCAGCCCCGAGGACCGAGCAGGTAGGAACGATATGTAAGTCTGAGCCGTTCCAATTTTTATACTTACCTTTCTTACCTCATATGCTAGTGAACGCCTCTCTCTTCCGAAGTGAAGAGTCAACTTTCGATTTACTCGACTTCGCAACTCGGTCGACGGGCACGATGCACGATCCCCGCAGTAGTCGCTCCGCAGCATGTTCGTCCGGCCTCGGTGTTCTTTTTTAAGCACAAACGGTCCCGAGTCCAACCGCCATGCTCGGCGGCGAGTCGCTCACGAAAGTTTGTCTGTTTCAGGCAAGGATACAGTTGATACGGCGGGCGAAATGCCGGAACCGAGACGGACTCGGTCCGCTCTAGGCGAGCCTTCGCGGCGGAGGAGCGAGCCTTTCGCCGACCGCTCCGCCTCCCTCGACCGTCGGACCAGTCTCGACTCCGCGGCCCTGCGATCTGAAAATCTCCTCCGACACGACTCGAGAGCCTCTCTCGCCTCTCTGCAGAGCGAAACGAGCGTGGACGACGCGTTCGTCAAATGCAAATATCCCAAATGCGCGTCTCGCACGCCTCTAGCGGAAGCCAAACGGCATCACAAGACGTGCCACAACTGCAGCACGACGTACTGCTCGAAGGAGTGCCGCAGAGCCCACTGGGAGAAGCACAGGAAGGTGTGTCTCCACTCCCGCGCCAGCGCCCTCTGCCGGCAGATCATCTCGGCGGCCAAGGAGGACGCGGCCTCTCTGCACCGAATAAGCACGGTCGCGTATCAGGGATATCGAATCCTAGGTCGCGGCGTAGTCAAAGTGTTCTTCACGAGTCCGGAGGCCGCGGAGAAGTTCACGACTCTCGGTTATCAATATTTGAGCGAGCCCGAATTCGTAAAGTGGACGGCTCTCCAGCCCAACGAGATGGGGGCGGAGCTGTACACGGAAGTGGTGAAGCTCTGCAAAAGTTACAACCCCGAGACGCGAGTGATCCTGTACGTCGCCGTCTGCGTCGTGAGCGAGGTGCCGACGAAGGGAGCCGTCAAGTGGGAGAGGCAGATGGTGTCTCGGTGCGCCAAACTGCGCCTGAGCAGATCGGTATCTTCAGTTATACAGGAACAGAATAGGAGGAAACAGCGGAGGGACGGCAAAGGTACGCCGGAAGACAGAGAGACTTTGATACTGACGTCCAAACTGTGGCCCACCGGCGAGAGGAACGCGGCGACCGCCCACAGATTTAGAGAAATCTGCTTGAGAAACGTATGCACTGAATTAGAGAGTAGAGGCGTAGTTCTCGAGAAGCATTTTCCAGAAGTGTACTCGAGGTTAGGGGCGTACGTGGACGGGACGAGCGAAAGGTTTATTCCGATGACCATTTATCCTAAGGATGTACACAGTGGGAAGTCATTTGTGTGTGTGATAATGCCGGACAGCGACGTGGAGAGCGGGACGCCGGTGGACGGGAAGGTCATGACGATTGACGTGGGACTGGATCGATCGAAACACCAATTATCTACGCCAATGTAGAAGCATCCGCTTCTATTGAATCTAAATTCTGATGGTGCAGTGAGCGAGTGTGGACTTTGAACGCCCTCGTCCTGTCGTCCGTTAAAATTACGACACGTAGACGGGTTTTGGCATTCGACGTGTGCTTTAGGTAGAGATGTGCGTTTCAATTGCTATTATGAAAAAATATAAAATTTGTATTTGCGCAAATTCCTATTCTTATGATAGATTATCGATAACCGATTCGAATTATTCATTACTTACTATTAAAGTAATCTTATAACTCTCCTATATTTAGAACGATGCTAAATTTATCGAATGAATCTATTAAATGATAGGCAAATAATTTGGGCGTATTTTTACATGCTAAAGAGCTAACGTAAAGGATGACTTTACTTGCAAAGAGATTTTGAAACGTGAAAACATTTTATATGACTCGAAAGACCTTCAACGTTTTATCGATAAATTAATTGACTGAAAAAAAATTGCCGACCGAAACTTGGACATAGGAAGTCGAATTGTAAATAAATAACACTTTTTTCGATAGTAAACGTAAGTCTCTCTTCGCTTTTAAATATTATTTTTAAAATATTGCCATATAAATGTCGTAGTGTAAGATCGCAGAGCCGATTGAGAAAGGAGCATTCACCATATCTCGCCATAAAAGCCACGAGGTGGGACGTCAGTGCGGTTGGAATACCTGTGGCACAATATTAATAAACTTTTTATATCTTTTTAAATAACAAAGGTGCCAATTTATTGACGAGTTACCGGCGTGTAATGTCGCTCAACGGAATGAGTGATTTTCGTAAACGCGTCTATTGATCAATATATTCCATTATAAATAAATTCCGCTAGGTAGACAAATGTAAAATTAATAAAAAATATACACAATTATGTTTTGTTGAAGCGATGAAAGATGATACTGAAATTAATATTAAATTAGTTGCATTTTGAGCTTGCGACTAGATAATAGTTAAATGTCTCAGTTGAATTTTATAAAAATCTCCAATAAATTTAACCTTTTATAAACTATCAGTCGCAACATACCGATTTAAGCCTGTGGGGATATAATACTTTAAAGACATACAACAATAAATATACTCGGATATTAGTCATTATTTCAATCGAGAAACCTACTATATGCGGTGAGACGGTCGGTGTGTGGTAGAAATTGCGAAAGTTATGAACTAGTCCTTATTACCATATCTACTTAAATGTTTATTATTATTTGTGATGTTTCGAAAAGATCTACCATTATTTTAAAGTGTTTAGATAATTATTTTAATGTTATTATATATATGTTAATCATTCCATAGTTAAATTGTTGTTATATATGTTATATGGTATATGAAAGTGAATATCTAATGCAGGAAATAAAAATTCAAGGTACGTGTTCAAATATTAGGCTGCTGAAATTTACTTGTGACAAATATAATTATTAAATGTCAATAGAGATCAGATTTAGATAATGTTACATAGTTTATTGATTTTATATCCTGTAGACATAATATTACCTACCTTTGATATTATGACTTCTGTTTAGTCATGAAATTGCTACTGTAAAATAATATTTCACACATTTATATGGACAATATTGCCATGTCAGTTGTTTTTCATGTCTAAATGATAATTTTTATCTAGTTGTCCCGTTAATATATTTAAATAAATGGCCCAGCTAATAAAATGTGTTTTAAATTAACAAACTGACAAATTCCCAGCATTTTCAATAATAATACTCATTATTTCCTGATCACCTACAATCTTATCGCAATTAATATTCAAAATAAAATCAATTATTTATTTTTTATAAGATTATTATCTCATCAAAACAATATATATGTTTCATCATCAACATGAAATTCATTAATAATTTAATTTGTGAATATAACAGGATTTATAAATAAATGGCATCTTCTCTCCTGCCCTATTGTTGTTGCTATTGAATTTTGGTAGGCGCTAAAAATTCATGTAATTCTTGAGGGAACACCTGATTGGGCTAAATGTAGACTTCTCATATTTTTTATTTTCTTTCCATCCATTCCATCTCTAGAATTTCTGGAAGTGGATTAGGTTGTTGATGTATTATTTACCATCTAGTTTTTGTGGGTTTTGGTCGGATCGAAGAGCTTTGTTGCATTAATGATTAAATCTACATATATATAAAGATATACCTTCAACTCTTGGTAATTGGTGTGCGTTTTCCAATTACAGCACTAGAGCGCATTATGCGGCATAATGCTCAACGTTGAATGTTCCAACTACAGCAACGCTTCGCACAATTGAGCACTCTCAAAAGTAATGCTCTCGCGTGCTTCTCGCAATCAATACCAACACAGTGACATAAAATTGACCAGTGTTTTTCTTTAAGTTGGCATTGATGATTGATCGAAATTTCGAAATTTCGTTAGTAAATATTATTTATTGTTGAAAAATTTGTAAGGCTTTCGTTTCGTCGTAGATTTTGAAAATAATTAAAGTTATTTCAAACTGCTAAAAAAAATATAAGTATGGATGAAGGTATAAATAGTTACTTTTTTTATATTCCACATTTAAAATATGAATACAATTTCATTTTAAAATTCGGATCTGTTAACAAATTTATTTTACAGGATTATACTTTTGTAAACATTGCAATGGTTTTGAAAAAGTATATAATTTTTTTAGAAATCATTTAAAAAAATTACTCAAAACGTAAATGATGTAAACTTCTTACATGAAACTAAATATTTTACTGTTAATTTAGCTTGTTAAAACCTTATATTCTTTAAAGGTTTTCTCTTATTTCAGTAAGAAAATGTTAGTGAAATAATCAAAATCCAAATTACTTAAAATAAGCGTAAATAGTTTTCAACCAATTATTATTGTTTACCACATTATTTATACATTAATGAGGTTGCTAACTCTATTCAGAACATTTTTTTTTTTCAACACTGACTTAGCGCACTCTGCTGATGCATTTGAAAACTAATTCACGTTCCAATTAAGCTTCAGCATAATGCGGCATTGTGCGGCACTGAGTCGCATTATGCTCTGTAATTGGAAAACTGTGCAGTATTTCGGGCAAAGTAATATGAGTATTGATTGTATGAAATGTCACTTAGAATCAAAATGTCATGCAAATCTGACAGCCAAGCCAATTGTCAATTGTTCTTTCAAACTTTCAAAGTGATTTTATTAAAATATTTTAGTAATTAAATAATAGTATTATTTCAAAGTTGAATCCACAGTTGAAGCTCTTATTGCCTTAATACAATTTTTTCAAGAGTAAAAGGCATTGAAGTTTGACCGTAGAAACCTTGAGGATCAGTCATCAGCGTTATCAAACTACGAGCGGGCCTGTTTAAATTACGGGTGCAAGGTTTATTTAGTGTTAAAAATGGTGTCTTCCTCAGTAATTTATGCGGCGGTTCCTATTTCTCTTGCCGTGGCTTTGGGCTTAATACGGCATTGGAGGTCACGGAATTGGGCTAAATGCTTAAGCAATTCCTGTTTGAAGGGAAAAACCTACTTGATAACGGGTGCAAACAGTGGTATTGGTCTCGAAACGGCCAGAGCTTTAGTTAAACGAAAAGCTCGCGTTATATTTGCTTGCCGTGATCTAGCGAAAGCCAAGGAAGTAGCTGTTGCTATGCGAGAAGAAGAAAAGTGTGGAGAACTTGTATGTACATACTGTTTATATTCATACTACATTCTTATTTGTACTGTATTAAGCAAATGCTAATTATCTTTTGTCTTCAACCCATATTAGTGTGACTAAATATTATGCCAATATGTACTGTATAAATATTATACATATTGTATTGTGTTTGAGATATCAATCACCTTGCCATAGTTAATACAACAACAATCACCTTGAACTTTGTAAGGGCATTGCAGTCATTAAAATAGTAATGAGGCATTTATTATTATTTAATGTTCTATTTAAATAGTAATAAAATTGCTATTTTACAAAATATGAATTAGAATTAATTGAGTATAAAAAAAGTTAATATCAATAGTGTATTTACCAGCAGTAGTGTAGTACAGGCTGGGTAAATTTTTGGAAGTGATTTTAAAAAAAATATAACAAAATGTTACAATAAATCGGTTTCAGGTTCCAATGTATCTAGACCTTGCATCACTTGAATCAATAGAGAAGTTTGTAGAGGTTGTTAAAGTTGGTTTCTATAAAATTGATTGCCTCATAAATAATGCTGGTGTGGTGGTGCCATTGGCGAAGGATGAGAAAACCAAAGATGGCTTTGAAATACATTTAGGGGTTAATCATTTAGGCCACTTTTATCTCACTAACCTATTGATTGATCTGTTGAAAAAGGCTTCTCCAAGTAGGTTAGTAAGAATTGTAAATATTAATATTACTTTGAAAATCATTCATTTCATTTAATTATAGTGCTTACAATTAACTGTAATTTTTTCAACAGGGTGGTTATGGTATCGTCAACTCTTCACGAACACGGTAAATTGAACTTTAATGATCTAAATTTAAGAGCTGAAATTGAAGCAGCTAAGAAAGGGAAAAAGGATCGTCATAATCCCGGTTACTGCAATTCAAAGTTGATGAATATGTACTTTGCTAAATCCCTAGCAGCAAAATTACAAGATAATTGTGTCGATGTAAATGCATGCTGCCCTGGGTTCTGTTATACAAACCTGTTCAGGTAAGAAGTTTGGATTACAGTCACAACAAGTTAAGATGGTAGCACTTTAGAATTAATTTCAGCCAATTAGTTGGCCAATAAATAAATAGGAGAGGCCGTTGTTTCTTTTTATTTTTAATTCCACTTTAGCCAAACATAAATATAATATTTACACTCATTAAAATATATTATTCTTAATACGGAAATGAGACTCTTACGTGACGTCACGTGAGTATTAATAAATTGTTGCAAAACAACACAGTGCTATATTTGATATTATGTTTGTATGAGTTCATTCCTTATCATTGCCAAACAAACTGTAATGCGGATTGATGTTTTGAACTTTGTTGAGATTATTAATGCTAACTCATCATTTTCATTAGAAGCAGAATTTAAATCCTTTATTAATGTAGAAGTGGTTGTTTCTTATGTTTATTTAAAGACGTCTAGATATGGTGATCGAATTTTGGGAAAATATTTCCGAAGGTCCGTAATTACTTAATAGAATGTTAAAGACTAGTAGATGAGCAGCCCTCTGCGACTCACTCATACAACTATTTATGACCAAAATTTTGTCCTATAACCTATACTATATGTGGTTTGAAGCTTTCGGCTTATATTATTCTTACAAAAAAGTATTTGTTTGCTAAAAATCAATAATAAGTACATTAACGGTTTGAGATTGAGATTTCGCTCAACTAACATGTTTTTACAGAAACTTCGTGAAATGGTATCACTATATTCTACTTGCTCCGATGGCTCTCCTCTTCATGAGATCAGCGAAACAGGTATGTTCGCTTTTACAAAATCCTTTATCTTTGTTGAAAAATAATTAAGGTACGATTTACAGGTAATTCTCTAAATCTCTTTCCAGGGTTCAGAGACTGTGGTGTTCTGTGCAACAGACTACGGCATCGAAGGACAGACTGGTAAATTCTACCGCGACTGCGCAGAGTACACCTCGAAATATAATTTCACGAAGGAGGAAGAAGAAAAACTGTGGGAGGTCAGCGAGGCAATGATCAAAGCGCGGAAGCCGCTTCAAAATTAAATGTGTTATATTACAATAAAGGAATCCTGACAATGCATTTTTTGGTTGTTGGTTCTATGTGAGCAAGGAGCACAAAAGGATCAAATTAGTCTTTTCGTCGTATCGTTTAAATACTGGAAATAATGTATAAGTTTAATTTTGACTGTAACGCAGTTTCGTTCATTAAAATATAATATAAGAAATGGTTATTACATGTATGATTTATATGAGAAGGTAATTTAGATAAGTAAATGATCAATATTTTTATAATATCTCTCGAATTTTATATTTAATTAATAAATTATAAGAAACAATGTTATCTGTTAAGTTATTAGGCGGTTAGGTTCCAAAGATTAATGAAAATGTAGACAATAAATATAGTGTAAATTGGAAATAAACAATTGTATGTAAATGCGTTTCGTTTTCAGTATCCTATTGTAACTTCGCAAAATTCATAACAACTTCCAATAAAATAGATAAATAGTTTCCACGCACAAGTATTATGTTTTCCTTCCAATTGCAATAATTTATTTTCAAAACATTAATAAACTTTTATGGTAAGCGTAAGGGACGACACCTGACGATCCCTTCAAGGGTATTCCAAAAATCATTTAAGCGAACTCACTGCTATGTAAGATATTTATGAGTACGCAAGAAAATTCAATAATCCAAATTTACAGAGTACGGTAATTTAAAAGGACTTATACAAGAAGCCATTGCCATAGACAAACTAATAAAGCAGTGAAATTATAATAGAAGTAATTTTTGCCATGTTAAAACATATAAAAGCCAATTAACTTATACAGTTTTAGAAATGACATATTTGTTTCAACTTCATATAGGCCTTTTAAGAGTTGGTACGCCCTTTTCTTGAAGGACTCTAAGTCGAATTGGTTCGGAAATACTGCCATGGACTGATGGACAGTTGGTTCCACATAGTAGTGGTGCGCGGCTAATACTGCCTTAAAAACGTTAAGGGAATGGAATAAAAATTTTCATCCCAAGAGGGACAACCCACATCTGGCATTCGCGTAATCGCAGAGTGCTATTTGTGTTGTCGTATGCTAAAGCAATAAGCAAAAGTTGTGAAAGGACCCGCGTGATTGATGGAGCCAATCGGCATGGTGGGCGTTAAAACCACCAAGTATTCAGCGATTCCACGATTTCAGCGGTCGGAGCCCTTTCGAGCAGGGAATGTGTAACTGTTCGGATGTGCTCGATGATACCTACCCAGGGTAGGAGAATTAAACCCACTACTAACATTTGTGAAGTCTGGGAATCTCACTCACCTATGGATTAACTGATTGCGCTAGTGACACAACCTCTGTCACGGGTTATTTCACCAATGGGAGACGGACTCGTCGCGTTCCAACCCCGAAAATAAAAAACATATTTCCTGTGTCAACCCAAATTCTTTAAGTGTAGACACAGAAAATTATAACATGTCGTTAAATTATTGTAAAATTCCCATTTTATGAAAGTTAATATTGACCATCGTCCATGTATTACTAGTACTAGTAAGAACCAAATGAAATTACGTCATTGCTTGAGGCTCTCGCTGTAAAAACTAAATATATAAAACAAAGTCGTGTTAGTTATCTTTTTTTTGGTGGATTCTTCTCCGCTCCGAATAGCAGAATAAGTAATAAAATATCGGATAAGTTGTGGAATAACAATAAATTAATTAATTCGTTTTACGAATGCAAACACCATGTGGTGCCATCTATTGACAAAATTACGCTTCTTGAAGTGAATGAGGAGATGCATAATCAGGCTTTGATCTTGATCGAAGACATGTGTTACCTCATCAAAAATTGTTGTATATTAGAAAGTGCTTTAACATACAGTATCGCAATATTGGCGCTAGAGAGAAGAGGCCTAATGTGTTGTGTAAAACTGCCATTCTTTTTTCGCATTGGCAAGCAATAAAACATTCCTTTATAACTTCCAAAAAAAGTTGTATTAATGTTATTATCTTAATTATATCCTAAATTAAGTTTAACTAATGTATGTATGTCGTAGAGACGGAACGAAGTTAGCCAAGTCAGCTAGTAATTTTATAAATTTGAAGTGTCGCACCTCATAACATTTGCGATGTTACCACGCAAAACGCTTACATTCAGCGCTACTTAATGATTGGCAACCTTGCCTAGGCTCAAGTTTATAAGTCATTTAAAGCGACATACAGCGGCGGTTTTCTTAACATTTCATTAGATTATTCTTTTTTTTATACAACTTGTGACATACATCATCAAACATATTAATAACCGTGAGCGTTAAAGCTTTTCTATAGTAATGATTTATATATTTACTTTGTCTTTGAGACATTGAAAACTAGAAATTATTGCACGCCGGCGACTCATATTGATGATTGATTGACATGAAGGGTTTCTAATAAAGCCAATAAAACATATTTTCAATAATTTATTCTGTACTCCATAACATGTATCACAGCTTAACAACTAGAAATAAGTGCATTTGTGAAAATGAATACAAAACATAGACTAAACTAATAAACTTTTGTAAAATATTCATCAAATACCAATTCTAAAGTTTTAATCACATGTTCCTGACAATGCTATCTTAAAGACAATCTTTTATTAACATCCATTTAATTTTGCCACAAACTTTGTTATTATCATAGCAGGACTTTTATAATATATATGTTACAATGCGCAAAGAATTAAAAACCTATTCTAAATTCCCAACAAAATAATATTGTGCCTGAATTCCAAACCGAACTTATTCTTAGAGCCGTCAAACGATTTTTTCAATTCGAAGTATGACATATTTTACAGTTCTCAAGCGGAGACTGTAGATTGTGCTACCCGTTGGAGTAAGGCCTACAACGCACTAGCGGCTGGCCGCGATGCGGTGTGCCGCTGCGGTAGGCCGCACTGGATTATTACAGGAAACCGCACGATAATGCCGCACTGGTTTGCGGACAACCGTCAACCGCTCCGGTTGTTCTGGGGCTGCGAAATGATCCGGCGCGCCGCGTCCCCTCCACGCACTCGGCGCGGTTAGCCGCAAATACCACGTCCTACCCGCCTCAGTCATCGCTTGTTCCTTGCGTTAGACAGTACGCAGAGTTTTTTGACGATATTTTCTACGATTATATAAATAAATAACTGCCGCAACTTCTTCAATGTCCATCATGCGCAATATTTCAAGAAGCACTGACGAGTGACGATTGCGGAAGACCGCAATAGGACCACAATAGGGATGGTTAGCCGGAATCCGGCATGCCGCTACGGCAGACCCTACCGCCGCTACGGCAGACCGGCCAGCCGCTAGTGCGTTGTAGGCCTAAGGATCTGGTGAGTATACTGTTGATCGCTTGTCAGGTAGGCATTTCGATGTTTTGGCAAAACTTATCTATTTCATACTATAAAAAGCCTCATGTGAACCCAACCTGCGCCCGTACTCTGTAATTTCCAATCGCCGATGTCGCCTTGACAACAAAATCCCATTATTGAGATATCGCTTTAGTTACAGAGTAATGGGCCTGGTGCTCCAAACACAAGTTTTTGCTAAGTGTTTCCACAAACCAAGATATACGAATTAGTAAATATTACCTTCTTAATTACCTACGTGACTTCCTACTACATGTATTATTGGTGTTAATTTAAAGACACTAACAAAATAAACCACGAGTCATTATAAAAACCTTGGCTATTGAAACTTACGCTCCAAAATCCAACTGTCACTCAAACATAACTGCATCGAGACAAATAATTAAATTAGTTACCGACCGAGGCAAAAGCCGTAAGCGATACTTGCAAAATAAGTTTACAAGTACAAGACCACCTGAAGTTAAAACATAAATATCTATAAAACTAGGCCTTAAGAGGTAGATTAAAATACAGTTAGAGCCATTGTTCGTGCTATTGGTACAGTTTAGGCACTTGGTGAGAATGATGCTCCCGAAAGATTCATTTACGTTTATTTAGTACGGAAATTTAATTAAATTGTGCAACATTCATATGGAATAAGCGATTCTGACCATGTTACAGAAATCATTCAACACTTATCCTGTACCTTTGATCGACACTTCATCTGCATAATTTAGTATTTAAAGCTAAACATCAAGCTATCAAAATGTTGTTATTAAAGCAAGACAGTGCTTTTGAAAGGAGAACCAAGAAGCATATTCCTAATATTTAATACTATTTGTTAATTGATATGTTATCCTTTATTTAAAACTTCTTCTATTCTTAAAAACGAAATGAAATTCTTAAAATGTATAAACATAAGTGGTGCAATACTTTGAATATTAATCACAACCAAAATTGTTTCAGTTTCAAAAAACTATCAGATTTTTTAAAAGTTAAGTTTTAATAAGTAATATTATTATTTTATTACTCAAAGGTATTTAGAAAAAATCTTTTTTGTTCAGTTTAGTTCAAACACAGTTAACAACTGTTGTTACTTGAAAGTAAGACTAACAAAAGTTTATTTAAAACTTTGCAAACATCAGTTTGGCTTTGCAGTACCAAGTTTTAATCTGTACAATAGAGGTGATAAACGAGATTCTTTTAAAACCTTATCAGTACTTAAAAGTGTAATTGACCTTAGTGCACTACAAATAAATTAGTAAAACCTAAACATGAATATACTAAAAAGGAGTATATTATGCCAATCTTCTCTTCTGCCTCCTTCTACTCCCGTAGATACCTCCTTTTTTATTTTTATTAAAATTACTATTTATTAAATTAGTAAACATTCAAGGCAACTAATATTTGCTCACTTCGAGTTATCAGTATCGTGTGCTAATCTACTAAAAGATAATACGTCTTTGGAATGTATTGTAGAATACGAGAAACGTTTAAATAAAAATAGAAAAAGATTCCCATCAATCCGTAAAACGGGAGCAGCAAGTCGCTCGGAGGCCGCCAGATGGCGCCGATCCATGTAAAGTAACAGTGTCTGGATGATGTAACATGCGGAGCTCTCTCTCGGCCTTTTCTTCGAGATTTGCCCATCTGAAAGGCATTTCAGAGATAAATTCTACAACCAGTTATTTAAACAAGACATATATTTGAGTATCATATAGGGGCTGTACTAGTATTACGTAAGCAGATTTACTGCAATTTATCCCCCCCCTTCTCTTGTCAGCATAAGAAAGCAAAGCTCTCAAAAAAAAAAATAGTACATGAATGTATGAATTTTTTCAAGCATAGACAATGTGTGGGAATGTGTAAAGAAGTAAATAACTAATGTTGACATAATCACCAAATAAGAAAATCAAAGACATAACTTTTACACATTTAAAGAAAACACTTTTTTACCAGATTGAAGTTATGTATTATTATAAACCCTCCATCTTTTAGTCGATACCAACTTTGGGAAATAAATACAGATAATACAACTTTTGCTACAGCTATAATACTTTTTGACATTCAACACCTTTTGTCTTCAGTCACCGTGACCACGCACGCTGTAAAGCACGCGAAACGTCGGATAAATTTAAAATTATGTAAAATAATTGTAAACTTATAATAATACATAACTTCAATCCGGTAAAAAAAGGTTTTCTTTAAATGAAATAAATATCCTATCTCTTTAGAGAAACGGGATGGTTAGGTTATTGCTTGAACGCAGATTATTTTCTTTTTACCAGATTATTAATTTACCTTTGTACGGCCACAGAAAATGCTTCCACAACATTATTATCAGTCTTGGCCGATGTCTCTATATAGGTGCCAATTTTATTTTGCTCACACCATTGTTTCAATTGATCGTGAGAAACTTCTCGGTCTTTTGAAGATACATCTGACTAAAATCAGTACCAAAATTAATAATTTTTATATGGAATTGTATACGTATATTTGTTCAATTACTAATACAAAGTTAAAACTGTAATAGTTTGAAAGTATTTGATTTGTTGTAGGATAATTCAGGCATTTATTAAACGACTATAAGACTCGTTTATGAAACAGCTGAAATAACCTTATAACAAAATATACATGAAACATCTCAGTATTTTCTTCATATTAAAGGTATTGATATATTACCTTATTGCCAACAACAACAAAAGGAAACTTTTCAATTCCATTTTTTACTCCAGCATAGTGTAAAAACTCATTCAACCATGTTTTAATATTATTAAAGGAACTGCGGTCATCAATAGCATACGCTAAAATGCATATATCAGTTCCACGATAGAATGGGGTTCTAAGAGATTTAAATCTTTCTTGGCCAGCAGTGTCCCAAATCTGGAATAATATATTAATTTCTATTAAATTTACATATATGTAACACTATGTAACACATATTCTGTTATTTTATTTATTTTGCCTAGACCACTGTTTGTTTATTAGTACAATTTCTATCAAAAGATTTCTATCTAAATCATTATCATACTTTGCTTCTGCATAGAAAGAATAGAAAATATTTCAAGAGGTTTGGAAATGGTACCATTTAGTTGCAATTATGACAGTTCCATGAGTAAGCAATATTTATTGAAGTTGTGGTTTGAAAAAAAATATATTTCTTTGGGCTGTTACTAAAAAGAAAAATTTTTTTTTTTTTGCAAAATTTGTGAGGAGTGATTACCCTCCTCTCCCCCCTCACGCATTTGGGCACGTCGTTTCGCACTACCCATTTAGTTGCAATCACGACATCTGACAGCCAAAATTAACAGAATGAAGAATTTTACGTGCGCGCCGTGACACAAAATTAACAGAATGAAGTTGCCCACGGAAGATGCTACGGCATTGGACATAATTTAAAAACAAAATTCAAATAATAATAGAATTTAATATGTTACACTTAATGTAAGAGAATAATAATAAACATTTATTTATTTAATTTTTCAAATGTAAACTGAACTTTATTGACTATAATGACTCCTTTTCCAGTCTTTGATTATTTAATTGTAATTAATTATTTGCATGCAATCAAAAACTATTTTTAATAATGCCAAAGAAGTATAACTTCTTACGACATAAGTACACACAACCTTTTTTATTATTATTTATAGAATATGAGTAGACAACAATATATTCTAAAGTGTTATCATATTAGTAAATTTAAGTATTTAAGTATATTAAAAATGTCCTCAAACACTTAAATTGCTTTTATTTTTCATGTAATGCTACATTTTCTGAAAAATATAATTAAGTACATCCTTGCAACTAAATGCAATTAAATAGTTACAAATTAGTGTTTGTTTGTCATTTATACTAAGAAAAAGTAATTTTAGAAAAACCTGTATTATCTCTATTGTTTTCTTTTAAATAATTATAGTTAACAGCTATTGTAAAATAATATCGCTGGTTATATATTTTAATGTGTATTCCCTTTTTGGGTAATTGTATAGTTATTATTATAATAGCTGTAGGAATACTAAAATAATAAAAAATAAGTAAGTCATTAAAAGTTTACCTGCAATGTGTATTGTTTTCCATTAACATCTAACATTTTATTCATAAATTCGACTCCTATCGTGTGGAAATTATGATCGTCAAAGTGATTAGATATAAATCTACTCATTAAACATGACTTTCCGACTCCACCGTCTCCAAGGATCACAATCTTTAACAAAACGTTCTTATTCGATGTTCTTCCATAATGCTGATCGTTTTCCTCGACCATGGTGGATTTATTTATGTCATAATAAGTCACCGTTTACTCCTTTTATTACTACAGCCTTGAAAGTTGAGTAAATGTTTGCTTGATTATTTTACCGTTTCAAGGATATCACCTTAATTATAAACTTTCGAGTCAGATATTTCACAAAAAAAGATAAAACCCTTTATGACCAATTCTAGTCATTACCAAAACAAATGATAAAATATCAACACAAGGAACTAAATACTAATACGAGAATTAAGCATTAATTACAACTATAAACTAACATGAAACAGCTGTGCACTGTGCAGCTGTAGCTTTAGACAGAGTAACAGTGACTGATGACATCACTCGAGTTGTCAGTGATCAGTCGGATATTTGTGATTCAACTAGAAGAAGTTAAAAAACATTGTAAATCACCATCACCAGAAATGTACCAAAAAAATAAAACTGTAATTTTATAAAAATAAATTAACTAAGTTGGTTTAGTAAGCGATAATTTATATTGTTTATCTATAATATGATTAAAGGAAAATTTTCATCCAAAAGTGTTTTATTTAAATCCACTAGATGTCTTCAACTAAAATATTGGCGAGCAAAGGAGAAATATAGATGGCAGCGTAATACGTATGAAAGTTATATAAAATATCGTCACTCTAGCAGTATTTCATTTGATTGTTGCCATCTTAGTATTTTTCCCAACTCAAGGTAAAATTATAGTCTTAGCATTAATAAATTTTATATAAGTGATTAAATTAAATTTCTTAAATTTACTTTATTTGCCTTAAATACATACAGAAGTTGTAAAATTTAAATAATACTGTAAAATTTTGACTAAGTCGTTAAATTTGTCATGTTATTTAGAAAATAATTTCTAATGTATGGAATATCTGTATAACACTGAGTTACAGTTAAAGAAAAATTTATAAATTTTAAGCGTTTGTCTAACTAATAAAAGTGGATGACCGAATTTAGTGAAAACAAAGCTGACAACATTGGTTGTAGAAATCACGCATCTGTGGTTTATTCTTATTCCGCAGTCCGCTTTGTTTTGCGGAGGTGAGAGGACGATTTATGGCATACTTAACTTTTTGTTTCTCAATGTTTTTTTTGTTTATGTATGTTTTGTGAGTGGACAAATATAAATTAATCCATTAGAAGTGTTTTTTATGAAACTTTATTAGTGTACGTGAGATTAAAAACTGGAAAGGTTTGAGTAATAGTTCAAACGATTCGATGTCAATAAACTTGTCGTTGATATTTTATGGGAAAGGTGTGCCGCGTCGCTAAATACCTGTTTGCGGCAGGGTGCACGAGTTCGGGAGGCGGTTGGCGCTTAGCTGCCATGTTATAGATGCGAGGTGAGTGGAATTAGGCACGTTCGAGGCAAGGCAAGGGTTTGCGCGGGACGGGACGTCGTGCATTCACCTCTGACCCGCGCCACTCAAGGTCGGTGCGCCGCCTGAAGGTCGCTGGTCACGTGACGCAGGGGGTGCCTCACCCTTACTTGTCAGTCGCGTCCTTCGTAAACACTCACATACACAAGTGTTATTTTGTTTAAATTGTCCTTTTGTTTTTACTTAAATTTATATTATAGTTTATAATATATGAATAAAAATATACGAATGTAAAAATTTGTGTTACTTGTGAAATATCTATTTGCATTCTTTTAAAACTTCAAAGTTAATTTGAATTAACTTAAAATCAAATTATAAATTATACGAAGAATAAAAAACTTATGATAATTACAACGTAAGGATTTCTGTTGTTTTCTTTATTAAAGGTGCACCATTGACAAAACTTTATTTAGGCATTACATAATTTTGAATCTAAAGCTCCACCTAAAACCTTAAAAAGCCTTTGCCTTTTAAAACTAGTATTAAAAGTGTACATGTGCTTGAGTCACCTGGAACAAGTATTGGGCCTCACAAATTCAACAGACGTGTTCTCAACAAAAACTTGCATATCAAGGCCTTTAATGTAATACCAATTATAGATATAATTTTGTTTCGTCGAATATGAATATTTATGATATTGGGTTTTGTATTATCATGCATTTTGAAGTCTCGAACTTTAGTCAAATTGATTTATTAAGCATGTATTAAATGTACATTACATTAAATAAATATATTTTTAGTTTTTAAATATTTGTTAGTGACTTAAATTTTTCAGTTAAGACAATTTTTGAGATTTTTTTAAAGATTTCTGATGAAGGGTGTATGTCAAAAGTCTACCAGGTTGAAAATGATCTTCAAATAAGATTTCTCAAAATATACAACTATGAATAATTCAATTTAGATACGTTGCTGCTTTTTCACAGACAGACATATATACACAGATAGAAACGTCATATATGTATTTAACTCCCCTTTTTGCAATTTAAGTGGTGCTGCGACACTAGACACACCTTCGTTTAATATGTTAATTACTTAACCGAGGCAACCAACGCGTGGGTAGTACTAGTATTGCAAAAACAATACATATATTGGACTATATGCTTAATAACGGTTTTCATTCAGCCACTTCGCTATTGCATGCATAATATATTGCATTTTGTAGCGTTAAATACTTTCAAAGCTTACAAAGTTTTTATCGAATGTTTTGATATAATTCAAGATCTTTTTTATTCTGCCTTTCCTTTAGTAGGTATCTTTTAGTCTTTGGAATAGCTTTTCTACGTCAATTCCTTAGATTTGTTTGCTTTTCTTCTCATGGAACCTTTAAAATTCGCAATTTCGTAATAGGGGGTTGAGTGACTGTTATGTTTGAGTAAAATTCGCAAACTGTAAGCAAGAATCGTTATCAGAACATGCATCAGCCATTCTCCGTCGGTTTAATTGCAAAATGAATTTCGAAATAGGATCTGGGCTCATTGTTTGGCTTACGCCGGATGAGATTGATTAGTTAAACAACTGTAATAATTAGATTTAATTTTACACCTTGGAAAAGGTTTGCTTTAAAAAAATTCGTTAATTATATGTAACAAAAGTTATCATATCGTTTTTAAATACGAAAAGGATTAGAATTTTATAGAAGTGTCTGCTTATCCATTTATTAAAAAGCACGGTAATGAACTATATCTAATTAAAAAAATACTAATCATTTTGAAGAGCACACACAAGTACGAAATAAAGATTGTAACACGGCCTCGAATCCAAACCGAAATAGACTTGTTTTGACAGTCTCTTGGCATTTTGTAGCTATGCCATGCGGATGTCAACAACCGCTGATATTAATTACTAATTAATTATACAAAAGTCGATCGCCGATTAATATAATTTAAATCCCTGTGTAGCAAATTACCATTTCATTAACGAGTCGATGTGTTGTAATAACGCGAAGGTAAATTTCAACAGCCTTGCAAAATCATCGTATGCGCTTATGTGCATGAGTGTACTCTCACTGCTTTCACGTGAGCCAGTGTGAATGTATTTGAGTGTGTGCGTCTCGGCCGGTGACCTTGCTATCAGGCGGAAGCGCGCGGCCGTGTGAGTCAGCGCGCGTCTGCCGCTTGGTACCTATGAAGTCTATAGACAATAGAGCATAGATATGAACCTTCTTATTGAGAATTCACGTGCTTGTTCCATTTTCAAAATATTTTCCTTCTGCTATTCAACAGGGACTTAAAGGGGGATTAATTTATGAAGTTAAAATATTAAGATTTCTAAAATTAATCCGAGTTTATTGAGAAGGTGTCGCAAATATATTTTATGGATCTAGAAACCATAAACATAACACAAGGAAACTGAAGTAGATTGTGAATATTTTAGGTTATAAGCCAAAGGATTTCGATTGCCTGGTACCTTGGTTGGTGCGGCTAACTTTTTACATTTGGCCTTCGTTGGCAGGAAGCATGACGTGTTATGGAAATGAAGCTTTGTGCCAAATTGCCATGTATTTAAATTTTAAAGCGTAGAAAATAAATTAAGTATCTAGACGATCTTTGTTATAAGTTATAACGAGGAAGTTTGATCGTATTAGAAATAATAATGAAGAGGATAATGTATAGATTTGTTATTTTCCTAAAAATGTTCATAGAGAAAGAAAAATCGTAAAGGTGTAAAAAGTTACAATCTGCCATATCCAAACAATTAAAGTACAGATTTATTGATTATTATGTTATAGCAGTCTGGCATGAGGACTTCTTCTTAACCGACATCTAAAACAATCTATCTTTAGTGTAATAATTATTAAGGTACCATGCCTTCTATACTATTATTGTTTTAAGTTTTTTTCAATTATGGATTACTTGCTTACCATATTTGTTGCCCCATGCAATATATCCAAATATATCATAACATCAGCCAACAAAACGCAACGATAAAAAAAGTGCGTGCGTACAAACTACTTTTCAACTCTTGTTCATATTTATACAAATCTAAAACTATGAGCAGATGTGTTGAGAGCTGTTAGGCGTTCAGAGCAAAATCTCCATCGAGACTGCTCATTTGTTTCAAGATGTAATTTTGAACCATCTAATTTTTTATGCCTCTGTATAATACAAATTATAAATTTATTTCTTCGATAATATAAACACGTGGTATTTTAATTTACATCATTTGAAATTTCAATAAATGATTTTGCATAAAATATAAAATACTAATATGTATTTCATAAATTCTCTTTACGCAATTTTACTTTTAAAAATATAATTTTTATAAGGTAATTCACTCTTCTCACTCTCTCTCAATCGGTCTCAATCGCTATCTCCCTTTTCTGCGACAAAAACGCTGCACATCTTCGTGACGCTCCGTAAAAATTGTACCCTCATGCGCCTAAAGAAGTTTCACGTCAACAAATATAAATCGAATTTAAAACCGAATCGGTTTTAAATTTTAATAACAATTGCAAAAAGCTGTAACCGTCTACTCATCCATTGAACTAACATGGTACATAATGAAAGAAAGGCTCAGGGGGTACGCTGAGGTGTTTCGACCGTATTGCGGCGTCTCACACGTTTCCCCAACGTTATAGTTGCCTGACATTTGTGCGGTGGATCTCGGGTGACCCTAGCGGTAGTCTGT